TGGTTGGTGTGTTTCCCCCCTTTGTATTCAAAAAAGAGGAGGCTGCCAGCAGATTCCTATCTGAGTGTGGGGGTGTGGCTGGAGAGGCATTGGCAGCAATGCTCTCCCACCTGCTGTGGGCACAGGTGTCCATGAATTCTGTTTTGGCCACAGCTGTTTGCTTAGGACTTAGAAGACAGTGTTTGGAAATGGGGGTGGGAGTGGGACTGCTATCATTTGGAACCCCAAGGGCAGGGCCCCCACAAACATCCTGTGATGTCTGGGCATCCAGACAATGGAGAAGTGTCCTGCCACAGATGCCAGGAGCACCTATGTAAGGGGTGCACCATCTTTTTTGTTTTTCTATTTGGTTTGCATATGATTCCACCATTTATTAAAGAAGAAGCAATTTTATAAATTAATTGAATAGATGTATTTGCTTATTTTTTGTATTTTTTCCTTTTTTATTTAAATTCGAAACAAGCTTGTTTTACATGTCAATCCCAGTTCCCTCTCCCTTCCCTCCTCCCCTGCCCCCCATCCCATCCCCTTTCTGCTCCCCAGGGAGTGTGGGCATTCCATGGCGGATCTTTAAAGTCTGTCATATCATTAGGAGCAGGGCCTAAACCCTCCCCCATGTGTCTAGGCTGAGAGAGTATCCCTCTATGTGGAATGGGCTCCCAAAGTCCATTCGTGTACTAGGGATAAATACTGATCCACTATCAGAGGCCCCATAGATTGTCCAGACCTCCATCCAAACTGGCATCCATGTTCAGGGAGTCTGGAACAGTCCTATGCTGGCTTCCCAGCTATCAGTCTGGGTTCCATGAGCAACCCCTTGTTCAGGTCAGCTGTTTCTGTGGGTTTCCCCAGCATGGTCTTGACCCCTTTGCTCATCACTCCTCCTCCTCTGCAACTGGATTCCAGGCGTTCAGCTCAGTGTTTAGCTGTGGGTCTCTGCTTCTGCTTCCATCAGCTACTGGATGAAAGCTCTAGGATGGCATATAAGGTAGCCATCAGTCTCATTATCGGAGAAGGGTATTTAAGGTAGTCTCTTGACTATTGCTTAGATTCTTAGTTGGGGTCATCCTTGTAGCTCTCTGGACATTTCACTGGTGCCAGCTCACTCTTTAAACCTATAATGACTCCCTCTATTATGGTATCTCTTTTCTTGTTCTCCTCTGTTCTTCCCCTGACTCAATCTTCCTGCTCCTTCATGTCTTCCTCAGAACTGCACCATCTTGGCAGAAAGCCTGCTTCACTCTGCTTGTACCATCTGGGCAGAAGAGATACTTCTATTTTCCCCAAACATACTTAGATCTGTCCTGTGTTGGGTAATGAGCTCAGTGTGGGGCTCTGAATCCTGGGTGTCTCTTTCTGGGGCTGGATTATCTAGAAACTTCTTAGAAATGGTGTAGGTTATTAGATCCTGTCAGTGGCTGAGAAGATGGTTCAATTGGTAGAGTTCCCACCATTTAAGCATGAGCACCTGAGTTTAGATGCTAGCGCTCACTTAGAAGCCAGGCATGGCAGTTCCCATCTGTAACCCCAGTGCTGGGGGAACAGAGACAAGTGTATCACTGAAGTTCATTGGCCAGCTAGACTAACATCTGAACCCATGAGCTCTGAGCTCAGAAAGAGGATTTGTCTTAAAAAAATTAAGATGAGGAGGGGAAGCAGAGGGGACTGGGGAATAGCTCAGTCAGAAAATTTATGGCCATACCAGTATGAGGACCTATGTATGAATCCCCAGTACCCATGTAAAAGATTGGCAAGATCGCATGTGTGTGTAGTCCCTGCATTAGGAAAGGATCCCTAGAGGACAAGTGCATATGTGTGCACCCTCAGCCAGTTCCTGCAGGCAGCCAGCGTGAGAGTCAGAGGGATTCAGATGGTCCAAGTACTCATGTCATGTCCACTTCTAATTTACAAACATTACTCTAATGATTCTAATGACCCTCTATGTCATGAACAATTAGGATCTCGGTTATACAGCTGGAGAAACTCAGACATACTGGGTTTAAGTCCCTTGCCTCAGGTTACACCCAAGGAAGCAACTGACACAACCAAGGCAGTGTGACTCCAGTCTGCACTCTTGACTACCACATCTAAGTCCTAACCTGGCCATGTTTGAGGAAGGTATTTGGACTCCCAAGATGACACCACCAATTCAACCTTACAGGCTGCAGCTACAGCTGGGTCATGGCCTAGCTGTGCAGGGAAGGTTGGGGCAGCATGCTCTATCTGAGCCTTGGAGAATACCCAGACATGTAGATCACTAAGAGAGGGCAGGGTCCAACTAAGTTTATCTCCTGCTTGTCAAAGTGACCACAAAAGGCAATGGAGATGGAAAAGCCACCTCTAGTTGTCATACTCATACAATCTAGCACTGTGGCTTTAAAAGCTAGGGTGGGGCTCTCAGGAATGGATGACACTACTGGGGTGTGGCTGATGGGGGGGGAGCCTGGTACTGCAATCTCACAGGGGCATCCTCGCCCATTCCCTGGGGGCAGCCCACCTCGCTGAGACTTGCCAGGACTGCCTGCTGCTCCTTTTCCCAGCACAGGTTGCTGAGCCCAGAACCTCTCTCAGGCTTAATCAGCAGGATGGCGTCTTTGCTGGGTTTGGTCCAGGAGAGCATCTGCACTCCTCATCAGGTGTCTGAGATGACGTCTAGGTGTGTCACTTACTGAGAACAAGGGAGCTCCTTGTTGCCTTTCTTAACGCCAGCCTGCCTTGGGGAGTGTGTTCGGCTTTCCTTCCAAAGCACCATCTGCTGCCTTCCATCCTGGGAGAAGGCAGAGTGTGGCCACTGCCTGAGGCAGTGGAGGCCTCTTTACAGTTTGTATATAATCATCAAGGAGTACGGTCCCCCCCCCCAAATGGCAAGAAAACTGCCAGCTCCTCTCACCTCTGCCTTGCCATCATTTGTGTCTTTCCTGATCTCCCACAGACCAGCTCACTGTATGGCAGGGTGGTTTGACCCAGTTGGGGGCAGAAAATTGTGCCTGCTTGGCATGGTGAAGGGAGTATACCTGCCACCACCAAGATTAACAGTCTGTGGCTTCTGGGTTTTGGATAACCACTTCCAACTGGTACCTTGACACCCATTCTTTTGGGGAACTGGAACAACGGGCCCCTCCTTAGTTCTGTATGGCTAGATCCAGTAGAGAGGGGACTTGCTGGTCGCCTAACAGCCTCCTCTGCAGACACACAGTTTGCACCTAGTTTATCTGTTCTCATTTTCCCTACCCCATCCCTTGCTTAGGGTTGGGTGGGCAGCCTCTAGGCTGAACTTGGCCCTCGCTTATCCCAGCAAAGGTGAGTCCCGAATCAGCAACTGTATGGAGAGGTTTTATCAGGCTCAATGTTGATCCTGTAGTCTGAGAACAAGTTCCAGCAGGCCAGACCCGCCACCCTTCGGGTCTGGGAAAGTCTGCTATGGAGAGTTCAGTACCACAGCTGATTCCCACCAAGCCTCTGGCTTTGCAGGCTCCTCCCAAAGAAGCAAATTCCCAGGTGGCTTAGGAACACCTCGTTATTCATGGTACATTTTCCCCTTTGGATGAGTTTCTGCCCTGGCTGACAACACAGCACAGAGGTCTCCCTGTGCCCCCACCCTGTAGCCCTGGACCACCTCTGTGTGCCCAGTGGCTTCCTAGCTAGCAGCTCTTTGTAGCAGAATAGAATGGACATTTATGAACATGTGTAAGGGCTGATACAGGGCTGGTTGTGTTAGAAGACACTGTTGTTTGGCATGCCCAAAGGGACAAGACAAGGACCTTAGACAAAAGCTCATGGGCACTGCTCTTTCCCGAGTGACTATAGAAAGAGGCACTCCTCTCTGGATGGCAGCCCCCACCCTAGACCTTGCCCATGTGGCCAGATCAGTAGCATAGGACTTCCTTTCACACATTTCCACAATAAGAAGTTATTTGGGCACTGGCAAGATGGGCTTGGCAGTTAAGAGCACTAGTTGCTCTTCGAGAGGACCTGGTTTCAATCCTCAGCAACCACATGGTGACTCACAACCATGTATAACTGGAGTTCCAGAGACTCTGACACCCTCTTCTTGTATCTTCTTTGGCACATGTAGACATACATGTGGTGTGTAGACAGACATACACACAGGCGGAACATCCATGTACACAAAATAAATTACTTTTTAATTAAAAATTAATTTTACATTGCAATTCTGAATCTACTCACTGTAGCACAAAACAGGTTATGTCTCTACTGTGTTACTCTCTGTATTGTATATTTTCCAATATATTTCTTCATTCTATACTTTTAATAAGGCATATCTGCTAATAATATCTCATATTCCACAGTGGATCACAACCTGCATTTGGAAAAATAATATAGCAAGCAGTAATGGCCATGTCTCCTCTCTGCGGCTATTTCCAAATCCTTTGAACACTGTAACTGGGCCAGGAAGGGCTGCCTTCGTGGACAGCTAGATCCAGGGTCCCAGTCAAGAGCTTCACTAAACCGCTCACCCCTTTCCTGTCTAGATCTACAATGGGACCCTCAAGCGGGAGCCTGACAACAGGCGCTTCAGCTCCTACAGCCAGATGGAAAACTGGAGCCGTCACTACCCCCGCGGCAGCTGTGCCACCACTGGCGCCGGCAGCGACATCTGCTTCATGCAGAAAATCAAGGCGAGCCGCAGTGAACCTGACCTCTACTGTGACCCGAGGGGCACGCTGCGCAAGGGCACGCTGGGCAGCAAGGGCCACAAGACCACCCAGAACCGCTACAGCTTTTACAGCACTTGCAGCGGTCAGAAGGCCGTCAAGAAGTGCCCCGTGCGACCACCCTCCTGTACCTCCAAGCAGGACGCCGTGTATGTGCCGCCTATCTCCTGCAACAAGGACCTGTCCTTTGGCCATTCGAGAGCCAGTTCCAAGTGAGTTCTGCGGGGCTGTGGTGGGGCTCGTGGGAGGCAACCTGCTAGCCTGGCCCACTCTGCAAGGGGCTCGCTCCCAAGGAAGCAGAGAGAGGCTCAAGCTTGTGTTCTGGCTTCACTCTTGCCATCTTGAGGAGTGTCTGATCTAATGGGCCACTGACTGAAGAGTCATCAGAATGAAGAGGTCACAGAACCCAGACATTGCATACACAGGTCTTAGTGATCACAAGCTATGAACAGAGCAAGGCAAAGGAGAGATTAGCAGGCTGATGGCTGCCACACCATGTGTCTCTGGGAATGTGTTAGCAATACTTGTTCTCAGGGCTGGAGAGATGGCTCAGAGTTCTTCCAGAAGACCCAAATTTGATTCCCAGCACCCACATGGTAGCTTATAACCAACTGTGACTCCAGTTCCAGAAGAACCAACACCTTTTTCTAGCCTCCAGTTATGCAGTCATGCAGGCAGAATACCCATACATAAAAAATAATAAAAATTTTAAAATTTTAAAAAATAAATATTCATTCCTGGGCCCCACACAGTCCTACCGACACCTGGAGGTCCTAGCAATATGTGTTCTAACACGCCTTCTAGGTAAGTCTCTCTCTCTCTCTCTCTCTCTCTCTCTCTCTCTCTCACACACACACACACACACACACACACACACACACACACCCCACACTGTGAATGAGACCTGATGAGCTGTCCTATAGAGAGCCATGGGCAGTAACATTGAACCTGCCTTTCAAGGCTCAGCACACCTTGAATCTTCCAACTGTCCCTAACCATCTACTGACAGCTACTTGTTTACTTGGCAAATATTTAGGGAGCGTCTACTCCTTGCAGGCTCTGTGGTGAGTACAGGAGGCACAACCATGGTGACATAGTCACAGCACCTCTGGAGCACATTCTTAGTGACTGAGAAGCTTTGTGTTCTTCTGATCCAGCCCCTTTCTGGCATGCCTGGTGAAGCTGACAGATAGCAGCGCTCACCCAAGGCCACACAGCTGGTTCTATAGCTGTACTCTTTCCTACCAGTCCCACACTGTTCGGAAAGAAAGCGGGATCCATTTAAAGGACCGCTCACATTTGAAGTACATAAGGCGTGTTTAGAATGACTTGTGAGAGGACTCAGAAATCCTTGGAGACTAATCATGGCACCACCTGCCCCTACCTGGAGGTTTAGGATTGAGTGACAAGCCACAAACCACACAGAAGGGACAGTTGACTGATAAAGGTAAGGTGATGCCTTCTCAATAGAGGGCAGTTATGCAACCAGACCAGGGCCAGAGAACGCTGCACCTTGGATGAGATTTTTCAGACATGAAGTCAGGTTGCCTTAGCGATAACTGTGGCTATTTGTTGAGCACTAACTATGGCAAAAAGGTATCCATCCATCCAGTACAAATGAAGAGAGGGTTCCCACTGTAGATGCTGAGGACATCTGTGGGGTAGGGCTGTCTCTGTCCTGCAGGACCTGTTCTCTCTGTTCAGAAGCAAGGCACACTTGGGTGAAAAGGCTGCCCATGGGAGCTGTGGGAGTTCCCAGACGAGGGTTCCCTTCCTTGGAAAGGCTTCTTGGAAGGGAGACTCCAGCAGGCCTAGGCTAGACCTTCGTGCCTGGAACTGAGGATGTCTTGCTACAACCAACACACTCTTGCCAGAGGCTAGGGAACGTGCCAGCGGTTGCAGTGGAGCCAAACATTCAGTTAAAACAGTGAACTAATAGCCTTTTGCCATGGTTCAACCTAACGCATGCCCTTCAGTGTCTATGTAAGAAGTCTGAGTTTGAACCTGCTCTATGGAGAAGCTGTGGTGGCTTCTGAGCTGGAGAACAAGCTAGTGGACAGAATTTTAGGACCTAGTTCAAGGCAGCTCTCTAGCCACTAGCCCCATGACAGCAATCCCAACACAGATGAATATGGTGACGATGGGGATGAGAAAGGACATAAGAATTTGTGTAAGAAGCTAGCTTGACTTGGGGAGGGAGGAGGAGGAGAGATGGAGTAGACAAGCCATTTGCTTTCACTCTCCCAGGACCAGGCACAAACTGAATGGCAGGATAGATGGGGAGCTTTGTCTCAGGATATAGGACCAACTTTGTGCACAGTGTAAAGGTAACTGTCCTGCTTCAGCCTTAACCCATGACAGGGGCCTCATCCCAAGAGAGGGAAACCCAGAACATAGCCTTTTTCCTTCTTCGAAGGGAGCTGTTCACAAGATATTCTCCAAGAGAGCCTGGTTGCCTTGTTCTGTTTCCCTGGAGGAAAGGCTGTGGTGGTTGAGTGTACAAGGAAGAATTTAGAGCCTGCTCACCAGGGCTCCCAGCTCACCCTGTAATTCACTGGACCCCATTCTTCCAGGATCTGCAGTGAGGACATTGAGTGCAGTGGGCTGACCATCCCCAAAGCTGTGCAGTACCTGAGCTCCCAGGATGAGAAGTACCAAGCCATTGGGGCCTATTACATCCAGCATACCTGCTTCCAGGATGAATCTGCCAAGCAACAGGTAAAAGGCCATACACCCTCCTAGCTGCTAGCTCCTGGGCGTGTCAGCCTGGCTCCACATTTGGAGATGCGTGAAAGCATATGTAGTTGGTTCCTTTCCTCAGCACCCAGTCATCGGGAGAAGGAGAATTCCTGGCAAGATCAGAGCTGCATCTTTAATGCCCTCCTGAGTGGACCTTAGACAGGTGCATTTCCCCCACTGGCCATTGCTATGCAAACCTTTCCTAGAGAGATATAAATAAACATCTATTCACTAGAGACAGTGTGCCACCGACAGACCAAAGCACTGATCCCACCAAGACACAACCTGGCATGTCAATGAGTTTATTGGGTTTATTTACAACGCACAGTGATGAGTAACTTACAAGAGCCTTAGTGACCAAAAGCAAGTCTCATCCAGGCATAGATGTATAGATGGAGTCCGCCCACTCTTCATCTAATCTTTCATATTCTATATACCCTATCACCTCAAAGACCTGAGACCACAGGACCTTACGCAGCTTGGGCAGAATTACATATCACTGGCAGGGAAATGTGGGAAGAGTGGCTACATCTCAGGTAGAGATCTAATGACTCTCTCCATCCCCTCCTTCCAGTAACATACCCAATCTAGTTCTTTAACTCTCTCTCTCTCTCTCTCTCTCTCTCTCTCTCTCTCTCTCTCTCTCTCTCTCTCTGTGTGTGTGTGTGTGTGTGTGTGTGTGTGTGTGCACGCACACACATGTGTACTGGAGATTGAACTCAAATCATCAGGATTTGGGGCAAACACTTCCTCCACCCACTGAGCCATCTACGTGCTTTTGACCCTGAGGGTTTCTCACAAGCAATTGCAGCTTGTTGAAGACAACAATGGTTATTACACTAGGAGGTTTGTGTTCTACAACAGCCATGGAAGAGGCCCATGGCTCAATGACAGTCATGAGTTTCCCAAAAATCCCCTTCCTCAGATTCCACTCAAGGAGATGACTATTCCCCGACCCTCAACTCCCTCCCTCCCAGCCATTCCCCTCAGTGAAAACAGGGTTCATTGATGCCTCCCAAGCTTGGCTGTTGGCCGGCTAGGAAAAACACCTACAGGACACAGTACAGCTACATGTGCCACAAATGGCTTCCTAGAAGCCTGGAGTAGTTTTTATAAAAAAAATTCAACCATAGGAGGGTTTCTGTGGCACCTTCAGTGTCTGTTTCACCTTAGGGTTCTAAAGTATGGTGGTGCATCATCTCATCCGGTCTTTAGCATGCTCCGGAAGAGCTCCATCCAGGCTCCAGACAGAGGAGAGACTTGCTAAGGGCCTCGAGTAGGATATGAGGGAGCTAGCTGTGAATTCCCATCTTTGTCTTTCTTATCTGGGTCAGTTACCATTAACTCCTTGCTGCTTATTTGTGTGGTTGAGTTGTGTGCTTCTGAACTGATTTTTTTGTGGGGGGAGGTCTGAGAAACAGCTACTTTGAGTAGAGAATATTTGTCTCAGCCTCCCCTCCTTTGAACAAACAATGTGGGCAACTCTCTCTGCAGGTCTATCAGCTGGGGGGCATCTGCAAGCTAGTGGATCTCCTCCGCAGCCCCAATCAGAATGTCCAGCAAGCTGCTGCTGGGGCCCTGCGCAACCTGGTATTCAGGAGCACCACCAATAAGCTGGAGACCAGGAGGCAGAATGGGATCCGTGAGGCTGTCAGCCTCCTGCGGAGAAGCGGGAGCACGGAGATCCAGAAACAATTAACTGGTAGGCTGTTACAGTAGGAAGCCAGGGTGCGGACTAGGCAAGGTGGCAGGGTGTGTCTCTGACCAATCCTTTCTACACTAGGCCAAGGCACAGCTGTGTAGGTTTCACTGGGCTGCAATTCAGGAGCTCAGTGGCACTGGCTCCAACTGGAATAGTGGCATCCAGATGATGGCCTGAGGTGGTGTACACTCTTCAGAGGGCATCTTCAAGACTGGGGTACAAGGGAAGGAGCCTTATGTAGTAGGCACTGAGATGTTCGGGTGATGTAAGGGGAGCAAACCCAGCAGGGCAGGGGTTAGCAGGTCTTAAAGGATGAAGCATTCAAGGTGGGGTACATTCAGGTGGGGTACAGGTCAGCAAAGTCACCATAAAGACCTTGAGTTAAACTAGAAAGACAAGAATGTTCAGAGTAACAATTGATTAGAGTCTCTGGACCGACCTCCATGGTTGATACTTTGATGTATTGTTTCAGATGGAAAACAGAGACTATTAAACAGTTCTAAGTTCCAAAATAGATGGCTAAAACCACTGATTAACCAACTGTATTTTAGGAACCTTTCATGTGCATAATTTTTTACCTAGACAGGGAACTCTTAGATATTCCCAGACCTCAAAGAACCTGCAGTCTACAAGGACACTGAGAATAGGATCATGAGGGATGTGATGGGCCAATCCTACCATTGGCTAGAGCCCAGGCTAGGGGCAGCACCTTTAGTTCCTAGCCTGCCATGTTGAACTGACCATGTCTGTGTCCAGGTCTACTCTGGAACCTGTCTTCCACTGATGAGCTGAAGGAGGAGCTGGTGGCCGATGCCCTACCTGTTCTGACTGACCGGGTCATCATTCCTTTCTCTGGCTGGTGTGATGGCAACAGCAACATGTCCCGGGAAGTGGTGGACCCTGAGGTCTTCTTCAATGCTACGGGCTGCTTGAGGTGCGCGAAGAGGGCATATAAAGTCTTTTTGCTCAAGCCCTTCCACAGTCAGCCTCCCTTTCAGCCAACATTCAAGCCAGAGTAGAGGACTTAATGCTCACCCTGGCCCTGCTTTTGTGGGCTGGCTCTAGGACAAAGGGTTAGGTATTACTGAAGTCTCTGAGTCTGGCTATGTCATGCAATCCTGAGGGGATCTAGAGGACATCACTGGGAGCCTAAGAGTGGAAAAGCCTACATTTGGATATCCAAACTGATTCAACTAAATTCCCTCCCCCACCCTCGGAGGGGAAATGTATTTCTTGTACTATCTTGAAGAGCATTCTTTTACACAAAAGTCTGCTGACTGGCTGCTCATGAGTCACCCCCCCCACCCCGCCCAAGTGCTGAGCCCATTCGCCATGTTCATTGGCATGGGGATGGTGCTGCCTTGCCCAAAGTTGTTTGAGTTCCATGGCAGGGTGTGGCCCTGGTGGGATCTGGATGTGTTTCGGAGTAGGTGCTGTCATGGGGTAGGGAACCATGGAGCAAGGGTCTCACTTTGCTATAATGGTTTGTCCCCCAGAATTCCAAAGAGCTGCCAGAATAGGGGTGAAGCTGCTATGTGCTTCTGTGTCCCAGCTTGCACTTCTCCCATCCAGCCCCTAGCCACAGCCTCCAGAGGGCAAAGAGACTGGGTAGATGAAAAGCCAAAGTAATTAAGGACTTTATGGGGCCACATGGCTCCTGGGTGTGACAATATACACACACTCATCCTATACATGCACCATACACGCCACTAGGACAGGAGAACCCACACTGCTTGGGAACAGACACAACCTTTTAAAGACGTAACTACATCTGAACCCCCAGTTAGCACCCCACTTCCAGTTTTGGTCCATCACCCCCCTCAGCTCTGCTTTGCTCAGGCAAAAAGACAGCATGCTGCAGCTTCCAATTCCTGTCCCTTAAGTGGCCACTAGAGGGCAGGAGCGGGACTGTCAGATGTAGTGGCGCTATAAAGAGGACGGTTTCTTTTCCTTCTCTCCCTTTTCCTCATTTTTCTCTCTCCTACCCTCTCCTTCCTTCTCCCTGCCACAACTTCCAAATTCTGTGCATTCTGCTCTTCTTCCCTGCTTGTCCCCATTGCACTCTGGCCCTCCTGTCCTGGTTTCTCATCACCCTACCTGCATCCTCCTCCTCCCTGGTTCTCTCCTGCAGGAACCTGAGCTCAGCTGATGCCGGCCGCCAGACTATGCGCAACTACTCTGGGCTCATTGACTCCCTCATGGCCTATGTCCAGAACTGTGTGGCTGCCAGCCGCTGTGATGACAAGGTGAGGGTATGGGCCCCTGGTGACACATTTATCTCCAACCCTATTGTCTCTGCCCATAGCTGCAAAGCCCAAAGCCACACACTTAAGTCAGGGACTCTCCTTGTCCTGACGTTTCTCTCTGAGAACCCATGAGTCAGGGTTCCATTTTCCAGATGCTTGTGGAATATGTCTCGGTGACAGGACAGGAACAGAGGCAGGAACGATGGAGGGCACATCTAGAACATGCAAGCGCTCCCTGCCACACTGTTATTGTGGTGCTGAGCCCATGAAAGTGCTCCCAGGCTCCCCATGTCCTTTCCAAGGTGTAACTCCTTCTAGAACCTCCAGAAAAGCCATTGGCAAGCCACCCTCCTGCCTTCTCTAGACTTCTGGATACAGCAATATGGGCAAATTGAAAGGACAGTTCCTGGAGAAAAGAGGCTAGAAACTTCCACAATAGCCAGACAGTGGCTCAGGGTCTAGTTCCCACACCCAGGTCACCAGGAAGACCAATGACAGGAAGTTTCTATCTCTTGCTTTCTTCACTGGGAGGGATAACAAGGCCTCTAAGAACAGCCTTGTCATTAAGCTACAGGAGAAAGTGATATTTTTCTTTTTCCTGCTCTGTGTACATCTCCTATACCTGGACAACCCTAACCAATAGAAGTCAGATTCACCCTGACCCCAAAAGGGACCAAGTGCTGCTCAGAGTGTAAATCTGCCACCCCAAGCCCTAGCCTGGAGGCTGATCAGAAGCAGATGCAACTGTGGACCCAAATGCTTCTGTGAAGTCCCTAGTCCCAGGTCCCACTGATGCTATGCTCATAGCATCTTTGGTGTTGGAGGCTGAAGGGTGACTGTGGGAAGAGGGGACAGGAAAGACAGTAGTGACTTTTTTTAAGATGTTTTTAAAACCAGAAGGAACTGGGACTGCTTCTGAAGGAAGTCGCTTTAGAAGGGAAAATGCTTTTAATCTTGTGGCCCACACTGGTCTGTGGCAATGGCAATGGTCACTTGTGTGCTGTGTGTGCTATGTGCAAGGCCCCATGGTTAGTATTCTTCCTGTACAATCATCCCTCAGTAACCATAGACATTGGTCCAAATTCCCATGCACACCCAAATCCACAGATTCAACCCCTTCTATAAAATAGGTATTTGAATATAACCTATATGCATTCCTTTGTACACTTCAAATCATCCATATGTTATTTATGAAACCTAATACAGTACAAATTTCAAGTAGTTATTAATAATGCCAAGAAAGAAATCTGTGCTCGGAAACCTTATATTTTTCTTAAGTAATTTCAATTTGTGGTTGGTTCATTCTACGTGGGTATAGAACTGGAGGCCCAGTACATCCTCTCCTCCACTGGACAAGTGAGGTGAAAGTAGTCCATTTTACATCTAAGGAAACTGAGGCCCATATAGGTGAGTCATCATACAGGTTCAAACAGTCAGGAAGTGACAGAGGCAGGAATCGTGACTAGTTGCCAGGGTATGCCTGAGAGAGCTTTACAGACTGACTGTGGCACAGGCTATGAGTTCTCTGGGTAGGTAGCAGGCCCAGAAGTCTGTTGGGACTGGACAGAACTCAGGTGCTCTCTGCTTGCCTGCAGTCCGTGGAGAATTGCATGTGTATCCTGCATAACCTCTCCTACCGCCTGGATGCTGAGGTGCCCACCCGCTACCGCCAGCTGGATTACAATGCCCGCAACACCTATACTGAGAAGTCCTCCACCGGCTGCTTCAGCAACAGGGGTGACAAGATGATGGTGAGCCAGGGCCCACTCCCTATGCACCCCACCAGGTCTACCTCCCCCTGTTCTATTGGAGCCAAAGATACCCTTGAGGACAAGCCCCAGTCAAAGTCTTGTTCTTGGAAGCACACCACAGTCCTGCCTCCTAGAATGCACAGGGGACCCTTGTAGGCTGTAGGAGCCCATACCTCCCAAGGACGGTAGCTGGAGGCCTCTTTCTGCAGGTCTCTATTCCTCTTACTGTGTAATGTGGAAATCGCCCTCATCTCCCTCTGAATGCTGAGCACTGGGGAAACAATAGAACTCTTACCATCTTGGGCAAGGCTTCCCAGCACCTTCTGAGCCTCCTAAGAAAGATGCTATAGACCACAGTCAGGATATAGAAGCCAAGCCCCAGGCCAGCCTGGAGATCCCAAAGTAGCTAAAATTCTCTGCATCTTGCTGCCAAACCTTAGTGTGGCCTTGTGTATTTGGAGGCTCGGCATGAAGCTACTCTGGAGCACACTTCCCGCGATGCTCCCCAGAGACTGTCTAAGAACCATGGTCCATTCCCTTGTTTGGGGGGTTCTGGAATGCACAGATGAAAGGGGTGCTGGGAGCAGTCTTCTCCCATCCTTCCCCAATGGAGTCCACAACCTGAAATTGGGGGAGAAACAGAACACTTGGGTATGTTATATCACCAGTTCCCTCACTGTCTGTCTTCAGAACAATAACTACGATTGCCCCCTGCCTGAGGAAGAGAGCAACCCCAGGGGCAGCAGCTGGCTGTACCACTCAGATGCCATCCGCACCTACCTGAACCTCATGGGAAAGAGCAAGAAAGATGCAACCTTGGAAGCCTGTGCTGGTGCCCTGCAGAACCTGACGGCCAGCAAGGGGCTGGTGAGGATGCTCAGTCTCCCATTTCTCCAGTCTGCTCCCTGCATTTCCACCAGCCTATCCTTTCCCTGCCTGAGACTCTCAGACACACTGGCTCTGAGTAAGCTTCGAGCTGCAGGTGTGAGAATGTTGGGCCTTGGGCTGGTCACCGGAGCAGTGATGGAGGCAGACACACCTCTGCCCTCTGAGAGCTCCTGCATAATGCCCACCCTATAATCTCTTGTTCTATGGCGCTGACCACTTGGACTCTACATGCAGTGGGGGACAGGGATGAGGAGCTTGCTTGATTAGCAAGAGAAATCCCCATCTGATGAACTGACGGATAAATAGAATTTGAGACATGAGCAGATTCAGAGAAAGCTGTGACAGAATCAGACTTGAGGTTTAAGGACATGATGGTGTAGGATAAAGCCATAAGATATTAGTGGATAGACAGCTGCTGTTCCCCAGATACACTAGGGCAAAAGAGACTTGGGGAACAGGAGAGGGTGAAGACAACTTCCCTGGTTCTTAGAGGAGGAGTCTGGGGTTCTCAAGGACACCAAACTGGCCTAGATTAGGTCACATCTGGATGTTGGTTTGCAGCCCAGATAAGACTGACTTACCTGCAAGGGATCCCCGTTCTATCTCCATGTTGACTCAGACCCCTTCTGAGCCATCTTGGTCTCAGGCAAGCCCTCAATAATGTGGATTGGATTCTGTAGAGGCTGGGGAGCTTGAAGGTAACCAGGCTTTTTGTAACTGTCACATGGCCTTGGCCATGAGGTTTCACGTAAACAGGTACTGCCTGAGAAAGGTGAGACAGTGAAGGTGAGCGGGACACTGGCAGTCTAGACACCAATCCTGGGTCACCACGAGTGAGAGAAATGACACTTTCCCTGCCAACCCACCAGAGCTTCAGGTTGACCAGGCACAGGGACCAGTATGGGCAGGTGAAGCCTGGCTGTTCCATCTTCGTAGGTCTGAGCAATTTTGTTCCCCTCCCAACTTTAAGGTGAAAGAGAAAAAGCTCAGGATTTCTTTTCTTGGGGTTGCATGCTTCTCTCCCAACCATGGTTCCTTGAGGCTACAGGCCAGCTCCTCCCTGGGTCTTCTCTCTTAGATGTCCAGTGGTATGAGCCAGTTGATTGGGCTAAAGGAAAAGGGCTTGCCACAAATCGCCCGCCTCCTGCAATCTGGCAATTCTGATGTGGTGCGGTCCGGGGCCTCGCTGCTGAGCAACATGTCACGCCACCCCATGCTGCACAGAGTGATGGGTAAGATATCCGTCCACTCCTCCTTCCACATAGGCCACACAGGCCTGTATTTTCTAGAGCCTTCTAGAAGGTCATCCTCAAACTATTCCATAGTGTGAGTATCCTGAGAGGAATTTAGCCCGAGAGAGCTGTGGGAGTAGGGGGGGATTGTCACTTGATGGGCAAGTCTACAGAAGTCCATGGGTCCTATGGGTCCTTGAGGGTCACCTTGCTTGCCATCCCCCAGAGGACTATGAGTACTGAGGCCCTCGAAGGAACCCCTCTGCCATTCCACAGCAATCCTGACCCCATTTCTCAACTCCTTCATCTCTAGGAAACCAGGTGTTCCCAGAGGTAACCCGACTCCTCACCAGCCACACTGGCAACACCAGCAACTCTGAAGATATCTTGTCCTCAGCCTGCTACACTGTGAGGAACCTGATGACCTCGCAGCCTCAGATGGCCAAGCAGTACTTCTCCAACAGCATGCTCAACAATGTCTTCAATCTATGCCGAAACAGGTGGGCAGAGGAGGGACCCACTTTACCTCCCCACGTGGTAGCACTCAGGGAACAGAGAGTGTGCCCAGGGGAGGCAGGGGCAGGATGAGGAAGTTCTAAAAGCTGAGTGCGCAAGGGCTGTCGCTTAGGCCTCCAGGCCCTAGGAATGCAAAGAGGGGACAGAGCAGTACACTTCTTATCTGGGGGACATGTGGGACACTGGGATATCCAAGGTTCTGCGGAGACATAGAACAGTAAGACCCAATTATATGAGAACTCGTTCCTGCTTCGTAGGGCTCTCTCTTCATCCAGGGCTAGGGAACTAACCTCTAGGGTGCCTCCAGATGGGCCGGGGGGATGAGATGTACCCACTGTATAATGGCTCAGGCTCACTACCCCCATTAGGGTTCCTCTTTCATGCACCCAGAGCCTCTCCACATCTCTCCACATCTCTGGACCCTAAAGGGGCTGTGGCAAGGGAAGGGGTATACCTGAGGTACTCTCACCTCACAAACCCACTTCCCACCTGCACAGTGGCTCACCTAAGGCTGCAGAGGCTGCCCGGCTACTCCTGTCTGACATGTGGGCCAGCAAGGAGCTGCAAAGCGTCCTCAGGCAGGTAAGAGCATCTGCCAGCAGCCCTCCTGACTAGACCCTTCCCACACTTGCCCTGTACTAAAGTCCCAGCAGACAGGGAAGGGGGCGGGGGAGTTCGTGCATTCACAAAGCAAGGTGAGATTGACTCAGGAGGAGTCCGAGCAGATTTGAGTAGCAGTGAGTGTGAGCTTGGCTCTGTCCAGATCTTCCATGCGCCTGCAGGGGCAGGTGGAGGAAATGTGAGAGAAGCCCAGTGTAACAGTGCTTAGAGCAGCGGCTCTCAACATGTGGGCTGTGGCCCCTTTGGGGGTCAAACGACCCTTTCACAGGGGTCACCTAAGACCATCCTGTATATTAGATATGTACATTATGATTCATAACAGTAGCAAAATAATAGAAATAGAAACAGAAATAATGTTATGGTTGGGGGTCACCACAACGTGAGGAACTGTGTTAAAGGGTTGCAGCATTAGGAAGGTTGAGAACCGCTAGCTTAGATCAAGGTGGAAGGAAGGTTGGACAAAGGGCACACCAGCCATTTGGGAGCATAGTATGTCCTAGAAAGGTTCAGGGCTCAGTGACATAACCCCTTCAGTTTCATCTTAAGAGTTTGCACTTGAGTGTTTGGCACTGGAAAGCCACTAGGCCGGTCCTCACTGTCTGAGACCTAGAAAAGCCAGATGCACACACCCATAGACCTCGATTTTGGGAGGCAAAGGTTGGAGGTTCAGGAAATCAAAGCCATCCTTGATATCTTAGGGTTCATAATGATGCAATGAAATACCATGACCAAAAGGCAAGTTGGAGGGGAATCCGGTTAAGCAGTAAAGGTTTATCTTCTTGACAATAGAAATCACAAATAAGTTATCATGGTGTGTGTTAATTAACATATCTTTATATGTGTTTTTTTTATAAGAAAGTTGGTATCTGAGGCAGGAGCTGATGCAGAGGCCATGGAGGGTGCTGCTTCCTGGCTTGTTTCCCATGGCCTGCTCAGCCTACTTTCTTATAAAACCCAGAACCACAAGCCCAGGGATGACCACACTCATAATGGGCTGGGCCCTCCCCCATTGACCACTAATTTTTAAAAAATGCCTTACAGCTAGATCTTATGGAGGCATTTTCTCAATTGAGGTTCCCTCCTTTCAGATAACTCCAGCTTGTGTCAAGTTGGATACCTGGTTGTGTAGAGAGGACTACATGAGACCCATTCTCAAAAATGAAGAACTCTTATTCTTTGCTTGATTTCTGTATACACAAGTAGGAAACTCAGATTTGCAAGAGGAATTCCAGAGCAATTCACTAACACACTGACGTTCATGGCAGCATGTTTTTTAATCAGGTCCATTGTAACCCAGGCATGAGTTCTGTAGTGGTCAGAGCACACTGGTGTGTCCAGAGTCCAGATAAATGCAAGTGTGTTACAGAAAAGTGGCTCCTGATCAGGCATCAAGCCCCACACTGCTTGTCCCATGATGGATCAATGTGTTTTGTTTTGTTTCTTTTTTTCTCCCCTTGCAGCAAGGTTTTGATAGGAACATGTTGGGAACCATAGCTGGGGCCAACAGCCTCAGAAACTTCACCTCCCGGTTCTAAGAAGAGACTGTTCAAGCAAGTTCGACTTGCAGGTGAGAATCAGCCTACTCCATATCAAGGGGTGTCTCCAGGTCCACCATGGCAGGCACTCAGAGGCCTGTGTGCTCTAGGGAGATGCATCATTTGGCTTAGTAGGCTGTTGGGCTCTGACTAACAGGTCAGGGGAGATAGCCATGTAGACTCCTAGCTGAAGACATGGCTGTCTCATAACAGGACATTGGGGATATGTAATGTTTTATTAACACTGCAAGGGCCAGAGGTCTGTGTATGACTACTGAGTATAACTCATCCTTATATTTTATTCTTCTATTATTATTTTTATGTGTATGAGCATCTTGCCTACATGTATGTCTGTGCACCATATGTGTGCCAGGTGCCCAAGGAAGCCACAAAAAGGCATCGGATCCTCTGGAACTGGAGTTACAGACAGTCATGAGCTGTCACATGGGTTCTGGGAATCAAACCCTCGTCCTCTGAAAGAACAGCAAATGCTCTTAACCACTGAGCCATCTCTCCACCCTCTATCCTTCTGAAAAGCTGTTCTCATTCTGCACACACTAAGTATGGACAATCTTTGTTTCCAGTTGATCATTCTGGAGACCAGAAACTCAAATCCAACACTGTCAAAGCTTTGCCAGCTGAACATTCTCTGGAATCAATAGGAATGTTTGCTTCTCACGCTCTGGCCTTCCATCTTGTCAATTCTGACCTGATTGCCCTTAAGTAGCCCTAACATGGGGTGTAGGAAGGTGTATTTTAAATGGGTATCCAAAGGGTTTCTTATGCAGATAAGTCAAGAACCACAGCTGAGCACTGAAGCAGATGACTTTGGGAAGGTGTGATGAGAAGCTGTGTACAGCATGGGTCAGAACTCTGGTGTGGCAATGTCTCACTACATGTAACTCTACATGATGTGGTTGGGGATTTAGCCTAGGGCCTCACACATTCTAGGCAAATACTCTACCACTGGCTAACCTCAACAACTCTTATATTTTATATTTTATATACTATATTTTGAGAGAGGGTCTTCCTAAGTCTCCCAGGCTAGCCTTCCACTTGCTCTGTTGCCTAGGTTGGACTTAAAACATGTGGTTTGCTGCCTTAGCCAAATAACTGGTGTTGCAGGCATACACTACCATGCCCACCTTTCGCTATACCCCAACTTGACAATTTCTCTCTCTAGAAAGACACAACCCAGCTCGGAAGACTTCAGGCCTTGAGGATGGGTTACCTGCTTCATCCTGTGCTGTATTTGGAGACGTTCAGATGCAACCAAGAACAACCTGAAAACTGTGGATGATGGAAATAATTTTTGATTCTTTTTTTTTCCTTAGGGGAACTGGGAGGCAAGAGGGTTTGGGAGGTTGGGTGGGGGAACTTTCTTGAGTTAAAGGGGCTTATGTCTGATGTCAATACTTTCTTCTCTGAGAAACAGTATATATATATATAATGTGTATAATGTAAGTATGTGTGTATGTGTGTGCGTGTGTGTATGTGTGTGTGTGTGTGTGCGTGTATGAATGCTTAACAACATAACCAACAACTGCAACAGGCTAGGTCCGCTGATTCTTTGAAGTTCACAGGCAGTACAGAGGACTCTCCATGTCTCCCTATAGACAAGAGCCACGTGTTTTTGGCTATTTGGAAGTATAGTGTGTCCAGACAGGGGCCCTTGACTGTCAAGCCACAGAAAGTTCAGTAGCCTTTTTCTGCCACTTCCCAGATGGCAGGAGAAGGGACAGTAGCCAAGGCTGAGGCTAATGTTCCCTCTTAAGAGGCAGATGGGGCCTCCAGAAGGCACAGGATGGTGTCACTTGCCTAGCTAGAGAATAGGAGCAGAAAGACAGGCTCACCATTCGAAGCCTTAGTTGGCTGAGTCCCAGATTTCAGAGAGCCTGCAAGCAGCTATTTCAGGAGAAAGAAAGCAAGAATATAGACTGAGGTCAAAGAGCTCTGGGAATAGCTGCTTATTCCCATCTTCCTAAAGGATGGGTGGGAATGGGTGGGAATGGGTAGGGACCTGGCACCTGTCTGCTCAGGCTTCTCACAGAACAAGAGAGGAGAACTAGAAATTATCTGCCATGTGTCTCAGACTCAGCCTGCTGAGTGTCAGGTGAGAGAGTGCTTGAGGGTCCCAGAGGCTGAAGGGAGGGGATTTGCACGGATAAACCAAGAAAAGGAAGGGTCCTTTTTGGCATCAGCCAGCCCACATCCCAGCCATCAACCATTCCTCTTTCTCCCTGAACCCTAGCTGTCCTGTCTGCACCCCTGTGAAACAAAAAGACCTATCATGGTGGAGGCAGCCAACCCCAGGACCCCAGACTTTGCACTTCAGACAGTAGTAGCAAAAGAGCACCTGGGAACCCCATGAGTGGGCCTGTCTATGTCAAGATCCCTAGGACAGGCGGAGGGTTGGGGCAGAGGTGAGCCTTCTCCAGGGCCTCTCATGCCTAGGCTAACACCTCTCAGCTGGTGTGGTTAGTGCTGGGTAGACAAGAGTGATCAGGGTCAGACCTCTCTCAAGGAGGATGTACGGTGCTCCCTGGCCCACCCCTCTACTTACCCCAGCAGGAAGACTGTAAAAATCCTTTGTGGCTCAGGCTAGCCTAGGAAAAGATCTGTCCACGGAGGATGGAGGTCAGATACGCCAGGACATTGTCCTGAAAGGAGTCCTAAGCCATCTAACCCACTGTGCTCTGGCGCTCTGAGCCTACAACACCCTTCCCAGTTTGGCTCATGTTGGAATCTGCCTGGTGCCTCACCTCTCCTCCAATATCAATGTGGGATGCTACCCCACCACACTATCCTTGGATAGGTTTCTTGGGATCTCCCTTGCCAGTCACTGGGATCCAAAACAATCCATTTCTTAAAACATGCCATTGGCACACTACTCCATGCCAGGCAGTGTTCTAAGGAAACCCTTAGGGTACATCAGTACATGAAACTTTCCACACCCCAGTCCCATACAGTGTATGTCCTCCCAGGGAAAAAGGAAACCCAGGTCCTGGGCTTTAGGAACCAGCCCCCTCTTAAGTAAGTTGGAGAGAAACACACAGAACATCCGAGTCAAAGAGTGGAACTGTTATAGACCCTCAGCAACACCCTTCCTTCAGCATGGTCCTCACTTCCTGCAGCTCAGGGGCTTGCTTAGTTTTCCTTTCTCTAGGAAGAAGGTTTGGCAGACTCACCCTTTGCTTTGGGGATGAATCGGGTGTCCAGACACCCAGGGGCCAGACCTGAACTTCCTCCATGAAACTGGCCAGATAGACTGGGCCCAACTCACGCCTGTCACTCAGGAAGGGTAAAATTAAGGGGCTTATGGATACATTCCTAGAAGAGGAAAAAAGGGGCTGAACTGACTTTACATATCCCAGACCTATCTTAGTGTTTTAAATTGGATTTGTCTTCTATTTCCATGCCTAAAACAAGTTACAGTTGAGGACCAATGAAAAAAGTTTTCCTTGATTTGGGATCTCCTATGACAGATCCAATTATTGTCCACCAGCAACCTGCCCAATGAGGGATGGACCAGCCACCCAGATCCCATACCTCTTCCAAGGACCCAAGAGGCCAAGGATGGCCTGTGGTCCACTCAGCTCCTGGCTGGGTCTCTGGGCTTGCGGTTTCTGGGAATCTTCCTCCGGCCCTCACTCTCCTTGCTCTGTCATGTATGAGAACCTTGTGCCAGCCAGACCTGGTTTCCTTGTATGATACACCATGTATTTGCTTTGTTGAAATATAGGAAATCAATAAATTGATAGTGTTTCTTTGAACATTCTTCAAGCTTTGTATTATTTGGGTTACTACCAAGGGATGAAGGGCCTTCTCTCCAATGTCTCCTCTTAGTGACTATGGACATCAGGTAAGGATTGAAAGTGTCACCCAGGAGATACCTGCTCCACTGGAGTCCATGTGAAGATGGGGATGCTGGGATTGTAGTCTTAATATACAGATACTGGGGCTTAGGAGGGAACAAATCTGACTGATGTCACCCAGGTCACAAGTGGGAAGTCATTCTGAGGACAACCCTGTCCATCCAGGCAGAGTTCCTTGACTTAGGAGCTCATAGTTCCAGAATGCCTATGTTACACGGGTTCCACATCAGCTGCTAGAGATATGGAAGACCCCAGACATGCCATGGGCTGAGGACCAACATCATCTGTGAGAATCCGGGATACCTGGGTTGAAATGGGGAGATATTAAGGAAATCCCACAGAGAAGAGCATTTCCCATCCTAGAGGAATGGTGACTAACAAGGGCTCCATTATAGCATCTTGGGATATCCTGGTGTTTGGTAATGTCCAGGGGAAAGGTGCTGAGCACCACTCAGGAGAGGGCTGTGGCTCTCTATGACCCACACTATTGGATGTACTAAGCTGAGGCTTCTAGAAATGCTTTGGGACCTACAAACTTGTACTGGCTGCAAAAAGCAGGTCAAATTACAAAATCGGCAAGTGTCATCTTTATGCTTTCATTAAAATACAACCTGGAGATCAAAATCACACAATTTAAAATGCATACAGATCTGACCCTCTTCAAACCAAACAGCACCCAGACCAAGAAATGGTACAGGACCAGCTCTCAAGCCTCCCTCATGGCCCTCCTGTTTCTATCCCAACCCCCCCAAGGAGAACATGGCACTACCCTGGCTTCCAACAGTATATTTTAATTTTGTCATTTTGAACATCACAGAAAGGGTGCCAATGCTAAATCCTGTTTTTCTTTCTAGTTTTAGCTCAGCTACAAGTGAGTAAGCTTCATCCATCCCTGTGGCATGCCTGGTTGCTGCCGTCCCACTGCAATTATGCTGCAATGTAAAATGCCACATGACGATGCTGTCATCCGGACATCTCTATGTACACATGTCCAGAAGCAATTTATAGATTCATTGCCTCACTTTCCCAGAACTACTGCATGTGATTCCTGGGAAATCATAACAGCGTAGAAATCCATTGCTATACTGGATGTGGGTAGAGGAGTCCCAAGTGACTACAATTGTAAAGTCCTAATTCAGCTGTCCTGGGGCAAAAAGGTGGCAGGTCTTACGGGGGAACGGCTGATGAGCGTGGGAGGGTCTGGCTCCAGGATTGGATGGATAGGAACAAAGGGACACCAAGGACACAGTACCTCTGAAAGGTGAGAAGGAAAAGGCTTCAAAGACCTGGAGGCCGAATGTCTCAGAGTCCATGTCCACACATGCCCGCATGCCTGACCTCGAAGCCACTTCCTCTTGTTCCTTTTGTAACTTACCTGGTATGGAGCTGGATGCCCCCAGGAATTGGGGAACTAAAGAACCAATCTCTAACAAGCAGTGCCGTCTGCTGCCAGCACAGCTGGAGAAGGGTGAACAGATGTTGGGCAATGGTCTTCTTCGCAGAGACACACAATGATCCTTTCACTTTCAGATCCCTGAGGCATTGTTTTCTGTCTGGATCTGCACATCTCTTTAGTAACCCAGGCAGAGTGCAGGGCATCAAATGCCAATCAATAGATGAGGGGAGGGAAGAGAAGGTAACCAGCTCAGAGGCACACAGGGAGTTTACAGAAGTTCTGAGCCTGGACCGGACCCAGGCCTTCTGGGTCCTGGGTATCAGAGCACGATAGGGAAGACTGCAGAGGAAGCAGCCAGACTGCGCACTATCAAATCCCCAGTGAATCAGGGTTCACAGAGCCTCGAGACAGCGTAGGATTGCACATCCTATGAGGGGTGGATGCTGTGCAGACATGCAGAATAAGAGTTCTGATTCACAGGCTGCCTATCATGCCAGGAACTGCTGCATGTATCATCCAGCCTTGAGCTGGCAGGTTTTGCTTGGTTAGAACATGGAGCTAATAAGCCAAGGGCTTCAAGGCAAGAAATGGCTCTGTGACCCCAGCTAGTCATCCTGCAGACACCTGCTGGGTCCGCATGTGTGAATGTCACAGAGAGATAGGTTGGTCATCTTGAGGAAGCCTGTGAAAGCTGAGGAGCCTGCTACAGGGGATCAGCAGAGAGCCCCACACTTTATGCTTCTAACGTGTCGGTGTTTCTTTTAGTCAACCACTAAGCAATTTCACAGTGGTGAGACTTGTAGTTTAGTTGATAGTGTCTGCCTAGCATGCACAAAACCCTGGGCTCAATCCATACCCACAAAACTGAGTGTGGTGGTATATGCATGCAATCCCAGCAGTGGAGAAACTGAGGCAGGAGGATTGTGTGTTCAAGACCAGCCTGGTCTACAAAGTAAGACTGTCTCCAACCCCCCTCCCCCCAAAACAAACAGACAAACAAAATGAAACAAAAAGCTTCAATACTGATGAATTAGTAAATAAGTTTTAAGATTTGCTTCTGTTGGGCATGGTGGCCCATGTCTGTAATCCCAGCATTCCCACTACTTGGAAGACTGAGACTGAAGTTTAAAGAGTTAAATAAAGGTCATCCGTGACTACAGAGTGAGTTAGAGGATAGCCTCAGCTACAGCGAGCCCATGTATGCAGTTCTGGATCCTCTGAGACAAAGACTCCTGCACTCTTGGACCAGGACCATGTTTTCCTGGAGGACAGTTAAACTGCAGGTGACAGAGATTTGAGCATTTGACCTGTGACCATAAAGCAGGGTGCACACTGACACAGGCAGACTCTACAAAGCTGGCCCAGTGGTGCCCACATCACCCATCACCCATCTGTGGTTCAGAGAGGCAGAGAGACTGAGTAACTGGAACTGTGGGAACTCCTAGGAACCTTGTGGCCATGTAATGTTGTTTGAGAAGAGGAAGACAGAGGGGGAGGAGGGAGGGAGGGAGGAAGGGAGGGAGGGGAGAGAGAAACAATCTCTTCATGCTAGCTGTTGCTCTTGTCTTGTGTCCTGGGAACACATGACTGTCACCCACCAGGCCAGCCCTGAAGATTCTTCCAACTCTGTCTGTGACCTGAATATGGATCAGTTCCAAAGACCTGGAAGCCCATGGCGAGCCTAGCTCACCACCTCCTCGACTGGCACCTGTGATAACAGCCCCACCCTCCACACCCTGCCAAGGGTCCAGATATCTGCTTTGTTAGGGCTGGCTCAGTCCCAGGAACACTCAGAGCCAAGCAGAGTGAGCCAGGCAGGACCAGTTCAGAGTGTGTGTGTATGGGTGCGTGCGGTGAGAACTAGACTCAGAAGTGGCCTGAAGGCAGGCTATCTGGGAAGGGGTTTTGTCAATTTTAAAAGGGGCTGTGGAGAATTATTTTCTATTTTTCCCTAGAAAAGGTTTTTGGAGGACAAGAGCCGAGACATGTCTTGAATTAAAGAAGGAAAGATGAGAAGCAAATGATTGGAACACAGGTGTTCATTCTTGTCTCAAATCCAGGTACTAGAGCTCAGGATTGGTGTGACGTAACATGACAAACAGGACTCTTCTTGTAACCCTAACATGTGTGTCCAAGAATACAGGGAACAAACTGGCCCAGGTGCCCCGTGTTCTAAAGAGGTTTTAGCATATGGAGGCCAGACATTTCTACACAAAACCCTGAGCGCTTTTAACCCAGAGATGATGAGAGGAGCAAGAGAGCATGTGGAGTAGAACAGAGGGTCACACACTGGAAGCCTGGCCTGTGCCAGTGACAAGGAACTGTGAATGAAAACTGAGGAGAAGCAGGAGAGTGAGGCACAGGCCAGCCAAGAGCCCCCATAGATGGAGGGCTAGCCCATCAGTGTAAAGTGGTGCTGCGGAGCTTGTAGGAAGGATGCCAGCTGGCCCCTGGGCTTATGAGTCTTTAATTCTAACCCCCTCCTCCCTCTTAGGTAAAATAGAGATACAGTGAAATGCACAAACCTTAAACACACCATTCCATGCATCTTTCAAACTCACACCTGTGCAACCCAAAGTTCCGTGTGATCACCTCAGAAAATGCCTTTGCACGTGCCCCAGCCAGTTCCCTCCCAATATGCAACACTGTTCCATAGTCCTGGTGTTCCCTCCCTCTCTCCCTCATTCACTCCTTCCTCCCTCCCTTACTCACTCACTCACTCACTCCATCCCTCCCTCCCTCACTCCTTCCATGCCTCCCTCCCTTTCTCCCCGACTCCTTGAACAGCCTGGCTAGATGCTTATCTGTTTATCTTATTTACCAATTTCTGACTGTGCTAGTTTTCTGTTTGCTCCTTATTACTTTCTTCTACTTACTTTAAATTTAGTTGGCTTTTTCCCTAGATTTCTGGTGTGTGTGTGTGTGTGTGTGTGTGTGTGTGTGTGTGTGTGTGTGTATGCAGGTGTGAGGAGGCAGAGGAGACTGTCTGGATCATTAGCAAATGGATGGGACAATGTCTGTTGCTGCTCCCTGTTCATAGGAAACAGGGGTCCCAAGAGGAGGACACTCACATGACAGGCATGTGCCTTGGCTCGGACCTCCATTAAGTTCAAAACCAGCCTGAACTACCAGTGGTTTTGGTTTGTTCGCTTTTAAGAAATAAAGACTAACTGGAATCGCTACCCACCCATCCTCCCAAATGAGTGATTCTGCCCTCATCTTTAATGCTCCCACTCAGCAAGTCCTGATGACTGAACCATCCTCCACACATGCTAACCACTGCAGGGGAACATCAAGCCTGGCTCTTTCCTTGCTCTTTGCTACCACCTTCTGGCTGGCTTCACTCCCATGCCAGCCCACAGCTACCCCCAGCCACTGGAGTGTGCCTACGCCACACTGATCTATAAGTAATGCTAACCACACCCTTTTGGAAGTCATCTGCCAACTCTGAGCTTTCTGTCCACAGTTCTCTCAGGCCAACCTCGGTCTGTCTACCTTGTTCCCTGT